TAAACAGACATTTCTCCAAGGAAGACATACGGATGGCAAAAAAACACATGAAAAGATGCTCAACATCACTCATTATCAGAGAAATGCAAATCAAAACCACAATGAGGTACCATTACACGCCAGTCAGGATGGCTGCTATCCAAAAGTCTACAAGCAATAAATGCTGGAGAGGGTGTGGAGAAAAGGGAACCCTCTTACACTGTTGGTGGGAATGCAAATTAGTACAGCCACTATGGAAAACAGTGTGGAGATTCCTTAAAAAGCTGGAAATAGATCTGCCATATGACCCAGCAATACCACTTCTAGGCATACACACCGAGGAAACCAGATCCGAAAGAGACACGTGCACCCCAATGTTCATCGCAGCACTGTTTATAATAGCCAGGACATGGAAGCAACCTAGATGCCCATCAGCAGACGAATGGATGAGGAAGCTGTGGTACATATACACCATGGAATATTACTCAGACATTAAAAAGAATTCATTTGAATCAGTTCTAATGAGATGGGTGAAACTGGAGCCCATTATACAGAGCGAAGTAAGCCAGAAAGATAAAGAACATTACAGTATACTAACACATATGTATGGAATTTAGAAAGATGGTAACGATAACCCTATATGCAAAAAAAGAAAAAGAGACTCAGATGTATAGAACAGACTTGTGGACTCTGTGGGAGAAGGCGAGGGTGGGATGTTTCAAGAGAACAGTATCAAAACATGTATATCTAGGGTGAAACAGATCACCAGCCCAGGTTGGATGCATGAGACAAGTGATCGGGCCTGGTGCACTGGGAAGACCCAGAGGGATGGGGTGGAGAGGGAGGTGGGAGGGGGGACCGGGATGGGGAATACATGTAAATCCATGGCTAATTCATTTCAATGTATGACAAAAACCACTGCAATGTTGTAGAGTAATTAGCCTCCAACTAATAAAAATAAATGGAAAAAAATAAATAAATAAATAAAATGTCAAAAAAAAAAAAAGGGAACCCAATCTAAAACAGTGATATTTAATAGAATATCAGAAATTTGAGTTTGGAATATGAGAGAGAGAGAATAGGCAAATATATAGACTCAAAACCAAACAGCAGTTTTATTTTTATACTACACAATATCCAACATAATTCTCCAAGTACTGTAGACAATTCTTGGATGGACTGATGTATACCTTTGGATGCTACATGGTTGACTAGTGTTAAGCTCCACTTCTGGCAGCATGATTGATCCTGAAAACCCTGACTGTCTCTCAGTGTTTTAACAATTTCTCACCAATAGTACCCAGTAGGACATCAGGGATAACTTCTCTGTGGTAGCTTTTGGTTTCCTAGGTGTTCCCACTTTTGGCTGAAAATTTCTTGGATCCTGACTTAGATTTCCTTTTAACCAATCCCTGTATTTACACATTTTGAAAACGTCTCCATGGAAGGGAGGTAATTCTCAGTGGAAGAAACAAGTTGTGGAGTTATCTACTGCCAGGCCGAACAATCATTTAATTTAAATATAAGTGATATTTTAAATGTATTTAAAAGTTGTGATGATAGAACAGCATGTATATTTAGATGTATTTATCACACATTAATCCAATGAAGACCACTGACACACAACCTCACTTTCTGTGCATTTAGAATAAAGGTTCTCTTACTAGACATAGTTGATGGTCACTAAATATTTACTAGAAGAAGGGCTTTCTAAGACAGTATCTAAATTTCATGTAATGTGTCATTGACTGGGAAAGTTTTAGTCAGTTTTGAGTGTGTGTGTCTGTGTGTCTGTGTGTGTGTGTGTGTGTGATGGAACCACAGAGCAATCTGCCCAGGCATTGCCCTAGGCAATAGCAAGTGAGTCATGTAAGGAGCAATGTTGGAAGAAGTGTCAATCTTTTCTTTTAGGCTGGTGATAATATTGACTAGACTGAGAATTTTTTGCCATTTTTTTCAATGGCAAAATCTCAAAATATGATTTTTTCTTAGGGCAATTTTCATGAAGCAAATTATTAACAAATGGTAGGTGAGAGGGATTACTTTGAAATAATGTGCAACTGAGATCTGCAACACTTGGTGATTTCTTTAAAAGATTTTGTTTGTGACCCAGGTCAGAAGGTCACAATTACAATCCTCTTGCCCTAGTATGAACTACCATTGTGTTACTGAATGACGAATTTCAGAAAACTCAAGAACTTTGCCATGGCTGAGTGAGTGAGTGAAAGTCAATCTTTGCGACCCCATGGACTATAGCCTATGGAATTCTCCAGACCAGAATACTAGAGTAGGTAGCCTTTCCCTTCTCCAGGGGACCTTTCCAACCCATGGATTGAACCCAGGTCTCCCACATTGCAGGCAGATTCTTTACCAGCTGAGCCACAAAGGAAGATCTTGGGATGCCTGACTCATTCTGTATTGAATAGTTTGGATATTCAGACCACAGTATGTGGGGGTGGGTGCTGTGTACACACAAAAGCAAAATCCCAATGCACAGGAATCAGCATCTCCCTCAACACCCCGTTTACAGCTATACATGCACAGACCCACTGTGCCTACCAGCCAGGACCAATTGCATTTGTGCAGGTCTGTGCTGCCTTTCAGACAGGTTTTTGAAAAGAGTAGCCTGGAGTATTTCTGAATACAGTGATGAAAGTTGTTTTTTTCCCCCTCACATACCGGAGGGTTTTCCTATAGCCTTGAATATCAGCTTTTGAATCCCTGAAAGCTCTTACCACACAATACAGTTTTTTTTTATTTAAAGAGTACAGTATCAGGAAATTCTTTTTCTGAGATGAATAATATAGTTTTAAAGTGATTGCAGAGTTCCTGAAGTTAGTAGGACTTTGGAGAATACAGGACAACTTGAACCTAAGGTGCTTAAGACCATTGTAAAAGTTTTACGGTTCTTTCATGCTTTTGCTTTTGTGTTTTAAAATGTTTGGAAAGACCTTGAGGGAGAGAAGAGGAAGCAAAACGTTATCAAAAGAGGGGAAAAAAAACCTTGTGAATGCTACCTGGAGGGGAAAATTTGAAACTGGATCTGAATTTCCTTTTTGTTTTTGAGAAGAATGTTACTGCCTACGAAATATGAGGCCTGTGAAGGACAAAATGTTTCAAAGTCACTCTTTTGGAACAGCCCCCAAATTCCACATGTGGGATGTTTTTGTCACGTGACTGAACAACTTGTAACTGACAGTGAAAGCTCTAGAGTCCCCTTTTCTGCACTCAGAAATCTCAGATTTCCAATTACCTATCACCTATCACTTATTATGGGGTTCCCAGGTGGCTCAGTGGTAAAGAATCTGCCTGCCAGTGCAGGAGACACAAGAAATTAAGGTTCAATCCCTGGGTCAGGAAGATTCCCTGGAGGACGAAATGGCAAACCACTCCAGTATCCTTGCCTGGAGAATCCCCATGGATAGAGGAGCCTAGCAGGCTACAGTCCATGGGGTCACAAAGGGTCAGAAACGGCTGAGGATGCACATAGTAGCACTAGCCTATATTCATTCTGTAAAAATTATGGTAATATCTACGACCTACTAGGTACAGCATCATGTTGTAAAGACGAAGATAATGGTGAGAAATATAGTGTACACAGATAACAGACATAATGGCCACAACTCTGACTGCTGCCAGAGACAATAGGAGAGGCCATGAAAACAAGGAAGGCTGATATGCTTTGGAGGTCAGGAAACAGGTACCTGTAAGGCAGTCAGGACTGAGGTGAAATGTCAAAGGACATTCCAGGTTGTGGAAAGAACCTAGGGAGAAACTTTGGGATATGAAGGAAGGAAAGGGACTGCTCCTGGAACTAAAAGGTGGGGAGGAAAAGAGGTAGAGGTAGGGTGGAGATAAATAGCAGGGAGAGGGCTCCAAATTGGTATCACAGCCCCTCATAGAGCCGCTTTTCCACCTCTTCTGGATTTCTGACTTTACGTTTAAAAAAAAAGGAACACCAATAAAGGGTTTGAAAGAGAGATGTGACAAGATTTGATGGTGTTTTTAAAAAACCACACTGAATCTAAAGTAAATGAGAAGTTGGAAGCCAGCAGGAGACCTGATGGGGTGAGCGATGGGGGCTAGTTCAAAGGCTGTGGCTGTAACCCTGACCAGAGATGGTAGTGGCAGAAGAGATAGAATTGGAGTTTCTTAAAATATAAATAGTTAAGCCAATAGCAAAGGACCAGATGGGAGAGGAAGCAATACGTGATCAGGGAAGATGTTGGGGTGGGCAGGGAAGGAGGATGCAGCGAAGTTACCCATGGTACCCATGAGTGGCTGGGCATCCGGACCATTAATCGCGGGGCTGGTCAGAAGGGTTTGTGGAGGTGTGTAGGTACAGGGAAAGGGAGGGGTGGGTGGCAACAGGAGAGAGGGGCAGGGGTCGTGTTTGTGGGGGAGGGGTGGAAGTGAATGGCCCCTCTAGCACCTAGGCCTCCAGTCTTTCCAACCCAAGGAGTGGCTTTGAAACTTTGGACCGTGTCCCCCAGGGAGAAATACATTCTACACAGTCCACCTGCACACAGACAGGGGATAGAGAAATTCACAGACAGTGTTTCCCAGTTTCACGTGCAATGAAGGGAGATTTCTTATTTTGTGTGTTAGTGGTTCAGTCATGCCCAACTCTTTGCAACCCCATGGGGTATGTAGCCCACCAGGCTCCTCTATCCATGGGATTCTCCAGGCAAGAATACTGGAGTGGGTTGCCATGCCCTTCTCCAGATTTCCTAATCTTACACTTTAAAAAAAAAGAGGTCAGCTTGGGCATCCCCCCCACTCTCCCGCCCCCTTCCCCTAGGCGATGACAGCGGTGCTGACGGAGGTGCTGACGGCGGTGCTGGTGGCTGTCCCGACCATTGTGGCGTCACCCGCGGGGTACTTTGTGACGCACGAGCTGGGACTAGGCCTTTAGGGCAGTCGGCACAGTCGGCAGCCAGACGGAGTATCAGTTTGTTCCTGAAGCTCCGCGGGCAGCTGAGGCGACTGAATACTCAGCGGAGGCCCTTCACTCTCCAAAGATGTCAGCGTCCACCACCTCTCGCCGGCCCATCAAGGGAATCCTGAAAAGAAAAGGTTCCACTACTTCCTCAGTCACAGGATCAGCCCAGCAGTCTGGTGGACCACTCCAGGTGTTCCGTAGAAAGAAGTCTCAGAGGTGGGACGAGTCGAACATCTTGGCAACCTACCGTCAAGAGTACAGAGACTACGATTTCATGAAGATGAATGAGCCCAGCACTTCCCAGTTCGGTCTGCAGGACTATGGGGAAGGAACTTCAGAGAATGAAACCACGACTCTCGACAGCTTAGCCAAGAGATTAGCCGCTATCTACACAACCGATTCCAACTATCCAGTGCGGGAGCCAGAATTGGATGGAGCGCACAGCAGCAAGATCTACCTTGACAGGCAAGAGAAACGTCGGCAGTTCGAACTGAAGAGGAAACTTCACTGCACCGAAGGAAAGAACATCAAATTCGCCCGACTGCTGATTTCCAGAGATCTACTGCATGACTACGATGATGATAAAAATGAAGAAAGTTGTCGTGTCACCAGCCACTACAAGCCTACCACCCAGGAAGAAGCAGCGCAAGGCGCCATCAGCCACAAAGGCCTGCAGACACAGACCTGCTGCTACGACAATGATGATGACGAAGACGACGATGAGTAGACCGCATTTGGTGAGTAGATAACGCTCGATCCACGCTGCAGTTGTTGGATCCACAACTTGTTCCCGTAATTTGCAACTTCTTGTTTTGTGCAGCTCGTGCAAGTACTGAAATTCTTAGCAGTTACATTGCACTGTGATAATTCAATGGTAAACATAGCAAATAATAGCTTAATTGGAAAAATCTCTGCTTGGTATTCTGGTTCTTTGCCGTAAATACCGATTCTGATATTCGTCTAAAACCCCATTACTTTGAGAAAATTGTTCGTTAACATACATGTACATAGTATATAGCTTTTGATGTGTTAAAGTTTTAAAAAGGTTGGGGTGGGGGGGACTAATTTATATTCACTTCTAGACATACTAGCTTTAATAGAAACGGTTTTGTTACAAAGGGAAAATGCAATTGGTACGGTGGGTTATGTAGTCTGATGAATATTCAGGCTGCAAAACACTTGTCTTCAGGGTGATCAGCCTGTTTGAGAGTGAATATATTATAAGAGTTATTGTTGCATTTTAGCTTTAAATTTTATCTTAATTTGCTTTCAGTGTTTACAAGAAAATGACTAAATGTTTTCTTATTAAAAAATGTCCTTTTCCCATGAATTATCAGGTTAAAATTGTCCCAATATTCTACTCTGTCTTTGTGCACCATATCGGCAGATTTGATATCAATTATCCTTGAAAGTCTAATGTTATCTCAGTGGTCCCTTCTCCAGACCTGTCTTGCCCTCTCCTCTCCACTCTTTATTTCCTCATCCCCAGGAAGTCTTGCCCTCTCACCCTTTGTTCCCTCATGCCCCAGGAGGACTGAGGAAACAAAGGGTGGAGAGAGTAAGACAGGTCTGAGAAGGAACCACTGAGATAATATTAGACTTTTAAGAATAACTGATATCAAATCTGCCTGTATAGTGCACACAGGCAGAGTAGACATTAGAACAATTTTAACCTAATAATTCATGGAAAAGGGACTATTTTTTAATAAGAAAACATTTAGTCATTTTCTTGTAAACACTGAAAGCAAAGATAACATTCACTTTCACTTTTCTGGGGCATACACAGCACAGTTTTTATGGAGTCTCATAGATGGTCAAAACAGTAGAAATGCTTCCTTCTCTCAAATATTCTTTCATTTGTTGCCACAGTGTCACTTCTGTTTCAACCATCATGGCTCCTTCAGTGTTCTAAGATGTAGAGAAAATAGACTGCATAGCAGAAGTGTAATAGTCAGGAAATAGAATTCAGTTGCTAAATTTCTGCACCTTTTTGGTTTACAGCCTGCTAAATAATTTGCTATTATTAGTTCATCATTTGTTCTAATTACCTTTTAGAGAACAACTGGGGTTTTTTTTTTTCACAACAGACTCCTGTGCAACCAGTGACATGATTACAGTCCCAGAATGTACATGGACAGAAGACAATTCAAAGGTTTTGTGTGTGTGTGTATTTCCTTTTTTCTCTTTGAAACATTACTGAGGTAATTGTGGGTTCACATGCTGTTGTGAGAAATAATACAGAGAGAGCCTGTGTACCCTTCAACCGGATTCCCCCTGGTAACATATTGCAAAACTAGTACAACGTCACAACAAGATATTGACATCATCACTACAATCAAGATACAGAACATTCCATCACAGCAAGAATCCCTCAGGTTGCCCTTTTGTAGCCACATGGTCTCCATTTCTATAATTTTGTCATTTCAAGAATGTTATATAAATAAAAACATATAGCATGTAACCTTTTGGGATATGCCAGATTTTTTAGCCTTTTATCCATTCAAGGACATATGGACTAGTTCCAGGTTTTGGTATTATAAATGAAGCTGCTATGAACATTCATGTACAGGTTTTTGTGTGAACATAAGTTTTCACTTCTCTGGGATAAATGCCCGGGAGTGCAATTGCTGGCTTGCATGGTAGTTGCAGTTTCCTAAGAAACTGCCAAATTGTTTTACAGAGTGACTGTGCCATTTTACATTCCCACCAGCACCCAGCAACGTGTGAGCATTCCAGTTTCTCTGCATCCTCACCAGCATTTGGTGTTATCTCTATTTTTTATTTGTCATTTTTATATATGTGTACTGGTGTCTTAATTTGCCTTTTGCTAATAGCTAATGATGTTGAACATCTTTCCATATACTTATTTGCAATCTGTAGATTCTCTTCAGTGAAATGCTTTCTGCTCATTTTCTATTTTGATTATTTTACTATTCAGCTTTGAGAGTTCTTTGCAATTTTTTTTCACAATTGGTAGCTTCTTATCCTCTTACAGACACTTTTGCAAAGCAAAAGATTTTGATTTTGATTTGATTCACTTTATCAAGTTTTCCTTTTCTTTGTGGTGATTTTGGTACCCTTGTCAAATGTAACCTAGAAAGATTTTTTTTTTCCATATGATGATTTCCTAATTAAGTGACATGGTATTAGGATGCATAGAAAATAGACCTTTATTATTTAAGTTTGATTTTCCTTTTGAAAAAGGAATCTGAGAATGTTCAGTTCCAGTTTCAACTTTTTATCAACATCACCTCCTCTGCTTAACTCCTTTGATGTCACCATTTGTTCACTCATTTTAAAGTATGAAATTCAGCCAGGCTGGCTATTTAAAACCTGGGACAGAAAATGGTATAAATGAATTGCTAAAAAAGAGTAACTTTCACTTGAAGGCCAAAGCAAATCCATTTTCCCCCTAGATTTTGAAATTGCTTCCATTGTTTCCCCTCTACATTAGTACACTAAATAACATGCTATAATAAGGCAGAGTATTATTTTTAAAAAATGATAGTCAAGAGTCACTAAATTGGTTCCTTTAAATTACAACTTCAATTTGACAAACACTGAACTCAAAGGATCAGAATTTTTTCTCTTAAAGGATTTTGTTCTGGGAGTAACACTGTAGGTACTTATCAACCCTTCACACCTTAGAGTAAATGAAGAACATGGTATGAATATTGATGAAAGGGATGGGATTATAAAAGTGAGAGAAAGAAGTGCCCAGAAGTGAAGAGTTGGGAAGGGAAGGGGAAAAATAAGAAAAAAAAAAGTGGAGATTTAAGCTCACTAGCTTTAAAAGTTATGATTCGCTCTCAATGAGTCATTAACTCTGAACTGTCATCAAGAGGACACAAAATCTTAGTGAAGAAGTGATGAGGAAAAGAAGAGTTCTCCACTCAGCCAAATAATTAAAGCAATACTATTACCACTGCCACTACTACTAATCACCATTTATTGAGCATATGCAGTGTATCAGACATGGTACCAGGGCTTTGAAAGCTTTATCTCTTTCAGTGATGCCAATGATCCTTTGAAATAGTATTTTGCCCATTTGAGAAATGAGAAAATTTCAAATAAAAAACATTGCATAATTGGCCCAAATGTATAGCTGCTAGGTGGTAGAATCAGGGCTCATACCCAGATCTGTCTGGCTGACTCAGGCATGATGTTTTCCCCACCATAAAACACTGGCTCTGTGCAGGTCCTTAATGGTGGTGGAAGCCACCCCACCCTACCCTACCCCACCCCACTCCACCCCTCCCCCCTAATCACACACGTCTGCCCTGACCTTGTAGTAGGGGCTGCTTTTCTGTATAGATAGTGCAACTGGTCTAAGGAGAATGTCCTCCAATCTATTCTAAGATGTGCCTGTGACCTCTGCCACATTGCCCACATCCTTCTGCTACCACCTCCCATCCCCTGTTCTGAGCTTGTGCTCAACCAGGAGCCTGAGACATTCATTCATACAAAGATGCCACCAGGGGCAAGTATATTTGTCAATTGCACTTTGAAGTGCACAGATATTTTTGTGTGCATTTATCAAGTACGGCCCTGTGTCAGGTGCAGAAGCCAGGGAAAGAAAGATGAATGAAACACAATCTCTGCCCTCAAGGAGGTCTAAGTCTAGTGCGGGAGAACTGTATGGTTCTGAAATGTTCATTGATGAAGACTTTCAAAGAAGAGGATGCCTGTATTTAAAGAAGGACAAATCCTTATTTAGATTACATTAACGGCTTGAAAGCAACTAAGGGATTTCCACATGCCTGCGGAGCAAGCAGCAGCCTTCAGAGGAACTCTGGTCTCCTGAAGGTGAGGACAGAGGGAGCGTAGCCTTTGAGACCTGATCTAGTTCAGCAGCATCAGACGCCTTGCTCACACCAGGCTGGGGCTGGGGAGGCGGGCGGTAAAGAGGGATTACGGGCCAACCATGGAAGGATTCATAAGTAGGGAGGTAAACAAACAGAGATGAGGACCTCTGAGGCAGTAACAAATGGTTCTGTGTTGTTTTCTGGGAGAATCCTTTTCTGCAATGCTCAGAGTTTTTATCTTATTTGAATGAGGAATTGTAGATACTTTGTCTCAGAAGTGAAGCAGTTATGTAAAATGTGAACCATGCTTCCTTTATTTGACTCCTGCTTTATGCCACTGTATTGTCCCCGTTTGGAACACTGGGGCTCATGGTTGAAACCGTGGGTTGAAGAAGGTGCTGGCTTGTGCTCGGAGGAGAGAGGGACCCATCTTCACCCCTTCATCCCTCCCCAGATGGCTGGGGAGGAGGGGTGGAGGAAAGCCAGGAGAGTGGCAGCAAGAGAGGCCAGCCAGGCTGGAGCCTGACAGAAGGAAAACACTAAGGGAGGAAAATAGAAGACGAAAGACTCCAGTTGTGTAGGGAAATACTGAGATAGAAATGATAACATTCAAGACCATAAACCTCTTGCATTTTTCTACTGTGTTAAAATTTTATGTCCCTTACTTGGGCCATTGAGCCAGTTCCTGTCTGTTTTACAAATGAGTTCTGCCACTTCTGTGCTACCCTGGTGACAAATCAGGTCTTTGGGGAGGGCCACCTGGCAAGAGACTGGCGAGTGGGGACAAAAGTGAGGAGTGGGGAAGAGCCAAGGTGAACAGAACAAGGTGGCTGGATAGGTGATTTGGGAGTCTCAGGGGAATAAGATGACGTCCTGTGTAAGGCCACACCACTCAGGAGTCATTTTTTAAAAACTGAAGTAT